CTGTCCCTGTGTCCAGCTGTCTGTGTTTCTGTCTGTCTGTCCGTCTGTCTGTCCATGTGTCCGTCAGTCAGTCCTTTTGTCTGTCTGTCCGTTTTTCCATCTGCCTGTCTGTCAGTCTGCCTGTCTGTCCCCATGTCCATCTGTGTCCGTCTCTCTGTGTCAAGCTGTCTGTCCATCTGGGTGTCCATCCATCCATCTGTCCATTCCTGTGTCTGTGTTTCCATCTGTCCATTTGTCCATGTGTCCCTCTATCAATCCATTTGTCTGTCTGTCCCTCTGTCCATTTGTCTGTTCATGTCTGTTTCTCTGTATGTCTGTCTGTCCCTGTGTCCATCTGTCTGTCTCTGTCTGTCTGTTCATCCATCTGTTTGTCTGTCTGTCCGTCTGTGTGTCTGTTTCCATCCGTCTGTCCACATATCTGTCTGTCTCTGTGTCCATCTGTCTGTCCAAGTCTCCATCTGTCCATCCCTGTGTCCCTCTGTCCGTCAATCCATTTGTCTGTCTGTCCCTCTCTGTCTGTTCATCCATCTGTCTGTCTGTGTTTCCCTGTCAGTTTGTCCATCTGTCTGTCCCTGTGTCCATGTCTCTGTCTGTCCAAGTGTCTGTCTGTCTTCCCGTGTGTCCATCTGTCTGTCCTTTTGTCTGTATGTCTGTCCATCTGTCTGTTCATCCATCCATCTGTGTGTCCAGCTGTCTGGCTGTGTTTCCATCTGTCAGTCCATCTGTCCCTGTGTCCATCTGTCTGGCAATCCATTTGTCTGTCTGTCCCTCTGTCTGTCCATGTGTCTGTCCCTGTGTCTGTATTTCTGTCTGTCCATCTGTCTGTCCCTGTGTCTGTCCAGCTGTGTGTCCATCTCTGTGTCCGCCCATCTGTCAGTGTGTCCCTTTGTCTGTCCCTGTTTCCATCTGTCTGTCCCTGTGTCTGTCTGTCTGTCCATCTGTTTGTGTGTTTATGTGTCCATCCATCTATCAGCATGTCCATTTGTCTCTGTGTGTGTCCGGTGTGTGTCCATCTGTCCACAGGTCCATTTGTGTCTCTGTCTGTGTGTCCCTGTCTCTCTGTGCCCACATCCCGGTGTCCGCACTCCCTCACCTGTGCCGGCTGTCCCGGTGTCCCTGGCTGGCTCCAGCTGTGTCAGAGCTGGACACGCTCTGGGCTGGGCCTCGCTGGGCTCAGCTCGGGCTGCCCCAGGCCCAGGGTGTTGAACTGGAACCTGAGGGGGTCACTGGATTGTGTTTAAAGGTGACGGAGAGGACGCGCCGGCTCCAGCAGAAACTGGAGGAGAAGCAGGCGGAGCGCCTGCGATCCATCAAGGAGATGGAAAGCCAGGTAAGGCCTTACAAGGCTCCAGGTCAGGGCTGTTCCATAGCACAGCGAGTCCAACCCCCCAGGGATCCACCTTTATTGCCCCCTCAGCCCCCACCCCCAGCACCCAATCCCCAGGGATCCATCTTTATTCCACCCTCAGCCCCCCCACCCAGCACCCAATCCCCAGGGATCCACCTTTATTGCCCCCTCAGCCCCCCCACCCAGCACCCAATCCCCAGAGATCCATCTTTATTCCACCCTCAGCCCCCCCACCCCAGCACACAGCCCTCGGGCACTGAGCAAGTGCATGAGGGGCCCACATGGCCCCCCAAAGCAGCCGTGGCTCATCCCAGAGCTCCAGTGTGTGGGAATGACACAAGTCTCCATCCGCAGCTCCAGCAGCAGGCACTGGCAGAGTATGAGGAGAAGGTGAGAGCTCTGAACGTGGAGGTGCAGGAGATGGTGAAGAACTACACCAAAGCCGGCTTTCCTGCAGAGCCACAGACTGGGCAAGCAGGTCAGAGCGTTCCTGAGGGAGAACAAGGCTCTCCAGACCAAGTGGAAGCAAACGTCCCAGTGGCGGAGGTGTCCAGGCTTACACTGGCCATGCCTGAGCTCCCGGGAGCAGGAACGGATGTGGAGATTGAAGAGAGTGTGTTCTGAGACAAGTCCCTTCCTTACTGTTCATTGCAGGAAGAGCTGTGGAAGTAAATGGTGAAGTTAAATACCAGCTTCCCAAAGTACTGCTATCCCTCCCTTTCCACTCAGGGAGCTCCTGAAATCCTTCAGCAAAGCACTTAACGTTTTTATCCCAGGTATTGGGAAGTTGTCTGGAGAGCTCACCCTCCAGAGCGCTCCCCTCCGTGTCCCCCAGCCTGAGCTCTGAGCTATGTCAGCAGTGGGAAGGGGCCTGTGCCTGCAGACCAGCTCCGGGTTGGCATCACAGCAGCAGCTCCAGGAATATTTCCTTGGCATTCACACCAGGTGTTACAGTAGCAGGGATGGGGGTGGGAACTGGGCTCAGTCACACACCCCCACAGCAGAGGGGGTGCTGCAGGAGCACAGTTACACCTGATGCTGCAATAACAGACATGAAAAGTGCTGCTATGAAAACAAAGCCGAGCTCAAGCAGGTCTGAGACAGGATGTTCCAAGCCTGGCCTGACATCCTACAAGAGCCCACAGCTGCCCTGCAGTGTTACCAGAGGACTGGAGGGATGGACTGGACATTTCTGACTTATTTATTTTCTGAAACAATAAACCACTGCATTTCCTAACAAATGAGATCCCTTGTTATTTAACCACAGGTAGTGGGGTGGGAGCACCGTGTGTCCCTGTGCGCTCGTGTCTGTCCATGGCCTTGTGCGGGTGTGTGTCTGTGGCTCTGTCAGTGTGTGTGTCCGTGTGTCTGTCAGTGTGCATGTCTGTATGTCCATGTGTCCGTCAGTCTGTCAGTGTGTCTGTCTGCATGTTTGTCCATGTCCATGTGCATGCGTGTATGTATCCGGGTCTGTGTGTCCGTGTCCGTCAGTGTGTGTCCATGTGTCCGTCAGTGTGTCCATCAGTGTGTGTCCGTGTGTGCGTCAGTGTGTCCCTGTGCCTGTCAGTGCATGTCCATGTATCCGTGTCCATGTCCCGTCCCTGTCAGTGTGTGTGTCCGTGTCCCTGTCAGGACGTCTCTGTATGTCCATGTGTCCATCAGCGTGTGTCAGTGTGCCTGCCTGTGTGCGTGTCCTATGCGTGTCCGTGTGTCTGTCTGTGCATCTGTCAGTGTGTCTGTCCATGTGCCAGTCAGTGTCCATGTGTCTGCATGTGTGTCTCAGTGTGTCCATGTGTCCATTTGTGTGTCAGTGTGTCCATCAGTGTGCGTCCATCAGTGTGCGTCCATCAATGTGCGTCCATCAGTGTGCGTCCATGTGTCCATGCACCCCCCAGCAGCACAGCTCACTCACACCCCGGTTTGGTTACTCACGGGCTGCAGAGGAGAGGGGCCACCTCATCTTCCAGCACTACTACATGCCATGGAATTTAGACATCCTCGAGGATTCCTTCACGTGCAGCCCTGCCGTGGTTTTGCTTACCTGCTGAGCACGGAGTGATGTGGTGGTTGGGTCAGACAGGTCACTCCTGAGGCTGTTACAGAACCCAGATTCAGTGGTAACTAAGACTGGTCTGACAGAACATTTAGGCACATCTCACCTTCTCTCCATGTTTTCACCTTTGAAGTGCCACATTCTAGGTCTTGTTCTCTACCACTAAATTCTCTGGCCCAAAATATTTATATTAGTCCAACCTTTGTACTATAATAGTAAAAAATTAGATAATGGGGATTCCTAAGCAGAGGACTCCAACTCCAGCAAGGGATACCAACAGGAGACACTGTACATGCAGGATCCAAATTATCTTTTGCCTCCAGAACGGAGACAGTTCTGATATGCCCATTGCACTTACACAAGGAATTACTGCACAGTAGCTCTTGTATTTTAGAGACACCCTTCCTGCCTCACACATAACCCACGTGGTCAAGATTATCAAGATTATTACTTGCTGTTATGCCTATTTATCCCCAGGACCCAAGGCACAGCCAAAAGCTTTCTGCAGGCTGCAGGGGCAAGGATGGGGTTCTCCTCACCAGACTCAAATTTGGGAGCCTCATTTGACCCAGGGTCCATCTGTAACCACAGGTTAAAACAGAGGGGCCTCCAGAGAAAGATTTGTCCCAGGATAACAAGGTGCTGCATCCAACAGCAGAGGCCTGTCTGAGGGGGACAGGCACCATTATACATAAACCAGTGCAGCTGGGACCTGACAGCACTCCCAGAGCACCCGTTTGATTCAGCAAATTGTTCCTATAAATCCCACCCACCATCTTCAAAGGCCTCCTGGAAGCTGATTGCCAGGACTGTGGCAGCATGGAAAAGGCTCGACATGAGCAAAGCTGACAAGAGGGAAAATAAAAGGAGAGGATTCAGGGAAAACATGACACAAAACAACAGCAAACCCCGAGACACAAGTGTAACCTCGTAGGGAAAGATAGAGAAAACAACATCTCCAAGCATAATTACCCACTGAGTAGGCTCTGGGCTCCTCAGAGAAGAGGCCACACGTTGTTGTATACTCAGATCTCACTTAGCACACGAGAAATCCTGACCTGAATACTACTGCAATGCAAATTCCAAACCTGCTCTGGATCCTCATGCTCCTGCCTGGTTCCTGGGGAAGGAGCTGTCGGCCCTGGAGATGGAGCTTCAGTCTTTCAGCTAATCTAAGTTTATCTTAGGATTTATGTTTGATTCCACACTCATCTAAGTAATGGAGCAGTTAACTGGTGATGTGCCGTGCATGAACTGCAAAGAGAGAAACACAAGCAGCAGGAATTGCTTTCTGCATCCCTCAAATATGGTCATGAGGGTTTAAAATTTTATAAGATACTTGAATGCAATTTTTCCAGGGCCTTCCCTCACTGTGTTTAGGCAGACTTAGGCTGCAGTACAAAAATGGTGTTGAATGTTAAACCTGTCATACCTGTCTCCAAGAAACGTTTGTTTCAGGATCCAGGCTCCTGCCCCACTCTCCTCTTGCTTTAAAAGCTATGTAGCCACAGAACAGGGAAGTAAGACCAGACTCTAAGGTTCACACTCCCAACTCTGAACTACAGACACATTGTGAAGCATCTCAGCACCGCAACAGCCTTATGAATAAATCAAGATCTACTTTAATTTAAAACACAAGTGCAAAGGATTCACAACTACAGACCAGCAGGAGTGTTTGTTTCAAATTATAAATCTTTTCCAAGCCCTGCTCTTTTGCATTAAAAAAAAAGTAATATATCTGAAATACATAAACATTTTAAGTCAAAAACTTTCCAGTGCAGCTAAGGAGGAGCTAAATGAATTAATTTCAATCAACTCCATCAGCCCCAAACTTCGACATCCAGTCTAGGCAAACCCCCTGTGACCCCTCTACCTGCCACAGGTGAGGGAGAGAGTGATTTCATCCTTCAGCAGGTGTCTGAGACAAGGGGGTGAGCCACCCTCACCAGGTGTTCCCTCCCCACAGATACAGAGCCAACCTACACGTTCCACAGACTGGGTGCCCACCCTGTGATGGCATCAGTGCAGATCAATTCCGTCCCAAATTACTTCAAGTAATCAACTGTGGCTTCAATTTTGAAGCAGGATCTGTAACTGGAGCAAATAGCAGAGGACAGAGATTATGAACATCTTCTGAAGAAAATGCAATTCTGAGGTTAGTTTCTGGCACAGAAGGACTGTCCCGAGAATAACTTAAATTCCAGTACATTTGCATGTGGAGTTTCAAAACAAAATCCCAGTTCCACATGCAAAAGCATATTCTTGAGACCTCACAACACCACACACCGTCACTGTACAATGTTAATCCTGACCTAGAGTCCAATTACCTTGAGGATCTCACTGACCAGAGAGTGTAGCACACAAAATACCTAAAACTATGTTAAAAGAACTCAAAGAGCTGTTTAGACAACCAGAAACCTTTCAGATGCCAAGGGCTGGTGGGGAAGGGCAGACCGACAGCCAGACAGCAGAGGTGTCTCCCCACGTCCTGCAGGGAGATGGAGGTTGGACAAACACCTCCCATGAACACAGAGATCAATCCTGGGATGTGCAGCACAGCTCAAACTTTTCCATTCTGTCTCCTACAGCATCCCCAAAATGCCACCCAACAGCTGCCTCAGGGCAGCATTTCTCAGCCTCTCCTGGGAGAAGGAGCTGGGAAAGAAAGGCGCCTGGAAAGCAGCCCCAGGAGCAGGCTGCTCACGCCCCAGCCAGCACCAGAGGTCTTGCACGTGGTGAATTGTCAACCACAAGGACCTGGTGGTGGGAGCACCTGGTCTTCACAGAGTCCACCTGGAGGCCTGTGTTCAAGGGTTTCCAGAAGCTTAAAATCATGAAATGGATTCAAGATTGACCACTAAACCATACACATTCCGCAGCAAAAGAGAAGCCTGTTGATGCAAGAGAGCCACTTAGAAACAAATATATACATATCACATCACTCCCGAGGGAAGTGTGGGCAGGTTTCCAGGTCCACATTTAACCCAAGGAAATTAAAATTGCCTGTGAAAAAGTCTCAGAGGAAAAAAATTCAAGTCTTTGTGCATTGTTTGACAGTTTAAAGGGGTCTGTGCCCCAAAATGAGTCAGCACAGGACTCCAGTGTAGAATGAAGGAAGCAAAGATCACATTTCTAACTGGGAGACATCATTCCAGTTCAGTGGTCAGCAGCCAAGGTGTGCAGAACTCACAGACATTCAGATACACAACTTCAGACTCCGCTTCAAACGCCATCCTCCAGCAGCAGTGATTCCCAAGGCATGGAATACCCGCTTTATCCTTGGTCTCACCTGGATCCAGTCTGTGTTGATTGTCTTCAGCAAAGGAGAAGCCCCAGAAGGCTGCAAATGCACGGACAGGATTCACACTCATCCTCTAAAACCATCGCTGACAATTTTCAAGCACCATTCACAGGATGAAACCACCTGGGCTCTTCATTTTTTAGATTTCTTTTTTTTATAAACATTCCTTTTTCCCCACAATTTCCCCTCAGGCAGAGTCAGCAGGTGGAGGTGCGCTTCCTGTACTGTTGGATAAGGGGCACCAAACACTCTGGAAGTCCTGTCTGGAGCAAAAAGGGATGATCCAGAAGTTCTTGTGCTGTTGCTCTTTCCAATGGATCCCGTGTCAACATCCTTTCCAAGAAGTCTCTCAGAACTGGGGAGGTCTGTGAAAAAGCAACCAACCAAGTCAACCCTGCAAAGCCACCAGGCACAGCTCATGCAACACCAGGCTGCCCAGGTGGGCTTGGTTAAAGGGATCCTGCACCTTCCCCCTCTGTATCCCTGTTTTCCCAGAAATGTGACATGGATCTCACATTTTCATGTTAGGGACATAACCTGTCACTGGTAGGCACAACACTTACACAGGTTGTTTTCTTTCCAATGGGTCACAGCCAATTAAGACCAGCCTGCCTGGAGTGTCCTTCCATCCAGATCACTCCTGTTTCCCATTTCATTATTTTCTGCAGTTCAGCTCAATAATTCAGCAAGATTCCTGCTACCTGAGCACATCCCTTGGGTGGGAAGGGTGCCTCAATTCATTCTTTTACTGGTCACAGATTGTGGAAAAAGTAGTTCAATAAGATTCCCAAATTGTTTTTGAGAGCCTGGAACCCTCATGCTGCTGGTGTAAGAAGGTGAAAAAGCTGCAGAACAGGTACCAAAGAGCTGAATGACCTCCCAGGTTTGTCCTTTGGAAGAGCTGTAAAAGCCTGGAGTAGCCAGCCCCAAGCACCACTTCCAGGCCCTGCACATCTCCTGCTGGTTTAATCCTCTGCATAGTTAAAAAGGAATAAAAAATGAACTTGGCTTATATTTATTTATTTAAATGCTGTTAATGACATCCAGTTTAGGTTGGGGGCATTTTCCCAGCTCTGGCTCACTTAGAAGTAGAACATGAAATCCTGTTCACACTGAGCTACTGTTTATTTCAGGAGCCCTTTGGATGGGATTGCTGGGATCGCTGGAGGTAGAAGGCATCGCCCAGCTCAGGACGAGTGCTGGGATCCAGCCTGTATCCCTGGCAGGGACTCTGCCCATGCCTTAGCAAAGCAGCAGGGACCGTCCCAGTGACACCCCTTGAACCTGGTGCACCAGTACTTCAGTCACTGACCACAGGAAGTCAGGGACTGGCACCAGGATGGAGGGCTGAGTTCCCCCAGTACGTGGGGCAGGACAGCCCCTGGCCTGCGACCCAGAGATCTGCAGGAAGCCAGTCTGCTTCCCGGGATAAGCGGAGCGGAGCAAGACTATGATCAGCTCCGGCTGTCACAGCCAGACAGCAGGGCCATGTCACCAAGTCAGGTGTGACCCAGGCCAGGCTGGCTTTACACTGCCCAAGGAGGGCGAGCACTGGGTCCAGAACGTGACCATTACATTTTAATTAGTGTTGCAAAGGCAAAGAGGAGAGAGCAGCTGTTGATGTTAGTTCAGCAGTCTACTCTGTTAAATAATTCAGTTTTAGCAGCTGGAGATCCTCTGATTAACTGGAAAGGCCGGGTAGCTCAGGATGCTGCAGAAGCTGTTTGATCTCACAGGCTTAGCCTGGAATGAAAGGATTGCTCCAAGTGGGGACTGAAAGGTGATCACTGTTTCTTATGCCACTGCTACTTTTTCCTAAAAAACCATGAAGCCAAGTTCATCTTCAGAGCAGCTTGCAGAGTCTCCACGAGCTCCTGTGTGTCCTGAGTTCTGCTGCTCTGACAATAACACAGTCTTTGCAGTCCTGAAGGCCGCAAAGCTGGAAACTCCTGAGGATCCTCCTGTTTCCTTCCCTGGAAGATGAGCTACTCTATCGACATCAGCAAGCTGGAAACTGCTGGGTCCAGCCAAGGCAGCTCTGATTTGCAGTCTCCATTTATGCCCAGGTGCCCTTACACTGTCAGCGCTATTCCCCACACAGCCACCAGCTGTCAGCAGCAGCCACCGAGGGCCCGGGGCCAAAGCACTTCCCAGGGAACGTCCTAGCAAGACCATTTCCACAGCCAGCTGTTCTGGGAACAGCTGATATGGATGTTCCCCTGTGATAACCATCAGGTGTACAAGTGTTTGCCAGCATTCTCACCCTGTGGAAGTTCTTCAGTTTGGGAGGAGGACTGTCTCGGAGTCTCTTCATTGCCTGGACTGGAGAATCACTAAAGTAGGGGGGTTCTCCATCCACCATCTCTATCACCATGATCCCCAGGGACCAGATATCCACCTATGGGAGCCAATGGCACATCAACACACACAGTTCAGAGCAGCAGGTCCTTGCTGTGTTGCTTTCACCAAGGCTGCAACACTCCACCCATGACAAATGGTACCAAGTCAAACACTGACCCCTTGATGCTCTTGGGCTCCTTACAGCAGTTTAACAAAGTCAGTTCTGCACCCAGGACTGAGGATCAGTGGTGTTGCAACATGTAAAGGTCTGCAAGTAACTGCCTGTGCTACACCTGGTTCCTTGGTAAACAAAACTCATTAGTCTGCTGCCACCTGCCCGGAATTCCAGAGCTCCCATCCCTGCCTTCCCGGAGGTGAGCCCCTCGGAGCTCACATGTCCTCCCCTCCCTTTCTGGCACCCATTTACTGATCTCTATCGTGTCACAGGCTGCTCCTTGCTCCCATCTGTCCACAGCTGGTATAAATCTAGGCCAAGCTTCAGGTGTAAGAATAGAATAAGTTTATGCCTCTTTCCTGGAAGCAGAACAATCTATTTTTCTACTGACTTTGAAAATATTGCCATCATCACAATCAAATCTGTAGTCATGCTTGGCTTTGTTTTAAATAGAGTCTAGAGGCTCTTCCTAGAAAAGCCAATAGTTATTTTCCTGTGACACTTGAGAATATTATTTGCTCCCTCTCCTGATATTAGGGGGGTGTCCCTTACCTCGGTGGTGTATGGTATCCTGGCAATGACTTCTGGAGCCATCCAGTAGGGAGTACCCACCAGGGACTTTCTCTTGGGTACATCTTTACTGATCTGAGCACAGAAGCCAAAATCTGAGAGTTTGACCTGTACAAAGAGAAAAGCAACCAACCTTAGAAATCAACCTTAGACAACACAGAGGGAAACAGCACAGAAAAAAAGACATCAAAGGGAGTAAGAGGATGAGCTGCAAACAAGGGATTGGGAACAGAAAGGAAGCAAGAGAGGAAGGCTGCAGCAGCAGAGGACAGGAAACAGTCTGTCTGAGGACACATACCCTGCCATCCAGCGTGAGAAGGATGGAGTCACTCTTGATGTCCCGGTGAATGACCCCCTGGGCATGGAGGTAGGACAGAGCCTGCAGCACCGACTCACACACCGTGGCAATCTGCTCCTCGTTCAGCCTGCAATCAGGGACAGGGGAGCTCAGCTGGGCAGGGACAGGGCTCGGCCACAAGGGCACGGTGCAATTCTCAAGTTAAATCACAGGTATTTGGTTCCCTATGGCCTTTACTATCTCACCTTCACCACTCTTCTATGTCTGCTGCTGGTGAAAAACAGCTTTGACTTGATGGCTGGCAACTTTAAGTTTTTGTAGGTTTAATACAGAGAACTTGTATTTTAAATCCTGTATCTCAGTTCATTCTGCAAGATGCTGTTTCAAGCAGTTCTGACAGTGCAGTGCTGCTCGATGCCAAGGTGCTGCAGTAACTGGTGAGACAGCTCTTTTTAAAGCAAATATGGTAAAGCCATTGTTCACAAGGTTTATTGTGCAACCCTATCCAGAAAACATCTAAACACATTCTCTGATAGCAAACACAGGGATCCTTTGGGTTTTCCTGCACATACCTTGGGTACACTCACACCTAACTAGAGGCAGCACAGGTTACAAGCAGAGAAGACCCTCCTGATTTCCACCACGCTCTGTTAGCACATGGAATATGAGCACCAAGAACCTCACCTTTAGGTTTAGATAACAAGAGGTGCACTTTCAGCCTGACATGGATGGACTTTGGTTTCAGTCAAGTGTCTGCATAGTGTAAAACACATTACTGGAGAATTACCTTACTCCTGGAGATGCAAATCACTTATCCCCTTCAGTAAATGTTTAGTGACTGGAATGAGGGTATTTTCCTCCCTGGGAAAAACTGCTAAAGGTTTACTTCTGATAAATGTTATGGTTAGAACAGATCCTGTTTCTACCATGTGAAAAAACAAGCATTCATTAATAGGTTCAAAGGAAGCTTCATAAAACCAATCTAGGCTGAGGTCCCACAATGGAATTCAGACTGACTGGTGGATATAAACACATGGGCCCTTCATAAACCTCTTCAGCAATTTTTATCTGTAATCCCAATGCCATCTAAGAGCTACAGGAGTTTCACAGGCTCTGCAATGTTGTAACTCCTCAGGATTAAGAGTTGGTTCTCAGACACTGACATGTGCCTCTGAACTTGGTGCTAGAGTTCAGAGCTAAGTGTCTCCAGCCCAGCTAAGTGTCTCCAGGACACTCCTTCCAGGTGGAGGCTACAGAGGACAATGTGGCTTTTCACACCTCCCAAACACACCACAGATGTGCTTCCAAAACACAGAATCCAACAGAGCAAGATATATGCCTTAAATCCACCACAGGATCTAGTCTGAGCACATGAGTGAACCAAGGGTATACTATGATTTTTAAAAAAACAAATACAATTGGTGTTAGCAATACTGCCTAATCATAACCAACTAAGATTCTGATTCTTTAAAAAGGAAAAGCTCATCCTACAGACTTTCCTGGTCAGTCTTTCCATAGGTATTCCCTGCACCAGTTTCCAGCCTTGTAGGACTGCTGGGAAGCAGGAGGAGGGTGCTCCAGGCCATGGGTGGACCTCAAGGGCCATCTAAGAACAACTTCTCTGCCCTACAGAAATGCTTTGGGCATTAATGAATATCAAGTGGTGTGGATAAGGAAACAAATTTAGGAGAGTGTCCGGTAGCTGCTATCTTTAGGCAATGAAATTTGGGAAGGAGTCCAAATCTCAAGGCTCTGCTGCACTTTTCCAGAGGAGTTAGTGAGGTTGAATTTGTGGCTAAGGTTGCACCACTGAAAACTATCTCTGCATGCTCTTTAATACTTATTCAATGAACTTCCTGGACAGGATTCAACAAATATAGTAAACAGTGGTTTTTTTATGAGTGCAGTGTTTTACAGGGAAGGTCATCAAGGAGATGAACAGTGGGTACCTAAAAGGATCAGTACTGTGAAGGAGATTCCTTCTATACCAGAAGTATTATCACATAATTCAAATGGATAACAGTTACAAAGTGTAGCAGTTTCAGGGCACAACAACCACAAGGTCTCAGAGGGAAACTACTCTTCCCAGAAATCCCCACTCTCCTCTTGCTCTCAGGTGTTGATGTTTTTGATTTTGCTTCGTACCTGATTTGAGACACAATGTCTGTGAGGGCTCCCCCCTGCAGGAACTCCATCAGCACCCAGAGCTCCTCTCCCACGAGGTAGCTCTTGTACATCTCCACGACATTGACGTGCTGATAGTCCCTCATTATCACCACCTGGAAATCCACAGGGAGCAAGTGACCACCACAAAAGCACTCACAGCACCCAACCCTCCCCAGTCAAGCAGGACTCACAGCCCTATGTATGGTAGCCCAGCGCAGAGCCCCCATCCCCCAGCAGTAATCCTTGGTACAAGCACAATCCTACTCAAAGGGAGATGGTCCTGCTCCTCCCTGTTTGCCGTGCTGGCTGTTCCCCCAGCCACGCCCTCCCTCACCTCGTTGAAGAGGAGCTCCCGGCGCTGCTGCTTCCTCAGGTCCATCATTTTCACGGCCACCTGGCGCCCCGAGTGCTTCTCCCGCGCGATGCACACGATGCCCGTGGAGCCCTCCCCGATCTTGACGTAGTTCTCCAGCATCGCCCGCGGATCCCCCTGGTCCACGACCATCCTCAGGGCAGCTTTGAACTGCTCGTGGGTCACCACCATGGGGTCCTCGCCGGCCGGCTGCCCCTTCCCAGCAGAGTCCGGGGGCAGGTGGAGGTTGCTGGAGCTGGTCTGGGTGTGCCGGCTGCGGGGGGACCCGGCTGGCGAGGGCCGGCTCAGGGGCACTGCCGCCACCTTCTCCACTGGCGGCGACTTCTGGGGGGTCTCGGCTTCTGAGACCCCCCTGGGGAAATCGGAGGCGGGCGGATCTGGCGGGAGAGACTGGGCTTTGGCTGCAGGGCTGCGCGGGGAGCCCCACTGCTGGGGCCTGAAGAAAGCGTTAGGCTGCCAGAGGAACAAAGGGGAAAGGGGGAAAACCAAAAAGGGATGGTTGGGTCAACAAGCAGAAAGGTCAGGAATCAGTTTTGTGTCATTCCACTCTGCCCTAGCACAACTTGGAGCTGATTGGAGTCAAGAGCTCCAGGTCTGCCCAACACATGCTTGGATGAAGATCTGCTTGGATGCAGATCTTCAAGAACTCCTTAGGGAATGGGTGCTACACTTTAGGGACCTCCGAACTGAAGCAGTTTAAAGGGAACCTTTTAAAGCACATGCTTTAAAAAAACCACCAAGACCCAAAACCCACAGAAAAAAACCCAGCTGCTAAAAAAGCATTCCAACCTCACCACCAAAACTCAGGGGCAACCTGTGCTGCAGAGAATTTGAAAATCCTTTATCCCTCTGTGCCTCTGATCTTCCTCTGTATAAAAGGAAAGAGGATTCATGCCAAGGCTGTAAATCACTTTGATGTCTTGGCCTAATTCCCTTGGGGTAATTACACTCTGCCTATTGAAAACTCTCTCTGCACTTTCCACTGGTACCTGCAGAGCATTCCTGTCGATCAGGCACAGAACTAGCCCTCTGCTTTGGGAAAAGCACTGGGATCCAGGCCAGCTGGAGACAGCCAGCCTGAGACTCCAGCTACTCAGAGCCACCTGCCACCTTGGCGGCTCCAAAGTGACCGACCGTGAATTTGGAGGTTTTTGGAGACATCCCACTCCAGTGCCACACAGTTCAGTGCAGTGAGATCACTACACTCCTGTTCAGTGTAATGAGATCACAGCCCATGGGAACGTGGCTTTGGGATACACATTCCCATGCGACCACTACACATGGGTCTCCCAAGAAGGATAAACCTTGTCATGCTCATACTCATCCTGGAAATGTTGATTAATTAAAATACGACATCTAGCAGGTGGGGTATAAAATACATTATATACTTACATGGGTATATGTAAAATACACATAATATATGTATACAAACACATGCAAAATAATAGTGGAGCTGCTTCAGAATGAGCAAGCCAATCATTTGTATTATAGGGCAAAATAACTTCAAAGCAAAAAGCATTTTCTCTCTCACAATTCAGAGAGATTATTAATAAAGTTAATATGAGAATGGAAACCAAAAACTGCCAATAGAGACTTTTTTAGAAGAAGAATCCTTTTCCCATCTCAGACAGGAAATAATTGTATAGGATTTAATTCCATGCACTTTGGGTTTTAATCAAGGATTTTTGTCAATAGCAGGATCTGCATAAGCCTCACAAACACACAGGACTCACTTTCACACACACACAGGCCCTGGAAAACACCAGTTAGTGGCATCAGGCACAGCACAAACACAAGTGGATGTCAGGAGCTCCTTCCTCCCCGAGTGCCAGCTCCACCCCTGCACTCCTGTGCTGACATGCTCACAGCAACACAGCATTTATTTTCCAAATCTCATTTTGTCTCAGGAGAGAGAATCCAAAAAGGTTTTCTGTAACCCCGAGCGTGCAGGAGGGGCACACAGCACATGTGCAGGCTCACACAGGTGTGTTATCTCCTGCTCCCACAGCTGACAGCCCAGTGGACACATCCTCAGTCCTGGGACACTGTGAGGTGTCACTGGTTCTCCCACTCCTGTCTCCCATATCGGGTTTAAAGGAAGGTTCACTCAGCCTTCCCATGTGCCTGTTATGGCACCCACCTCCTAGGAGAGTGGTGGATGCTCTGTCCCATCCCTGGACATGTCCAAGGCCAGGTTGGACGGGGCTTGGAGCAACCTGGTCTCGTGGAAGGTGTCCCTGCCCATGGCAGGGGGTGGAACAAGATGAGCTTTAAGGTCTCTTCAACACAAACCATTCTGGGATTCCATGGTTCAATTGTATCCTGTCCCTTTCACCCGCAGTTACACATTTCTCACACATCATCACCTCCACCTGAGAGGGAGACTCACATTGTCACCACCGGAGGCTGCTAAGAACACATCAGATAAACAACTCCCAGCTATGGCACAGATCCTTCCCTGGAGCAGGGAGATGGACTAGATAGCCCCAAGGTCTTCCCTGCTCCTTTCCTCTGACAAATACCTGGAGTTCAAATGCACCCAAGCACATCCATTTAGCTGGGAACCTCTGCTCCTGCTGAGGATGGCAAAGACACTCTGGCCAGGGAAGACACAAGCAGTCAGTTCTAGGTACTCCAGCCAGTGTAGATGAGCCCAGAGTCACTGAGACAGCAATAAGTGCAGCTTATGCTACACAAGAACTGCATTCCTTGAGAATCCCACTGCCTTGGAAAGGAAATCCACTGTGCCCAAAGCCTTGAGCCTGATCCTTATGCAAACTGCAAGAAGCAGGTTGGAGACATCCCCTGTCCGTGCAACACACTACAGAAGAGTCAGTTTGGTTGGGATGGTGGTTCCTGTCATTATTCTCCCAGTTCAGGGACTCTGGAGCTGCTGCAAATTAGCCTGGCCCAATCCCAGCCCAGCCCAGACTTTGAAGGCAGCGGCCAAGCCATGGGAAGTTGATGGGTGCTGGGTCAGCCTGGGAAGGAAGAGCAGCAGTGGTTGCATTTCCTATCCAGATCCAGAGATCTTCTCCCAGTTCAACACAAAGTGAGTCATCCATTCAGGACAGCTTTCCTGGGGGAGCTGTAGCCATGAGTTGTCCCACCCTTTCCAGCAGCCAGCATTTCCTGTGTGACAGCACCGTGGGTGCCGGTGCAAACCCTGACAGATACAGCTACACTCAGCCCACTCTCCGAGGCAGTTCTGGTTTGCATAGGCAGAAGAACACATTACTAATGGAAGCCACAGCCATTTCCCAAATGGCAAAGGCTCCCTGATGCCAGTGGAATGGCACTGCAGTTATGCCTTTACCTCACAGAAGGGCACAAGTGAGTAAGTCCCCTCATCCTTGCCAGCCCACGCTCCTGCAAGTACAGCTCTGCCAACCAACCCTTCTCCCAGAGATCTGGCTGAGCTGTGCCTCACAGTGCATCCTGTGAAGCACCAACAGACCACACATTTCCCCGGCCCAGGACCATTTGGATTCCAACATTAATCGTAACAATAACAGATGGCTGCACGATGTTTGCAATTAAATTGGTTCAGCTGTGTACATAACCTCTGGAACTGTAAAGTCAACACTGCACCCACTCACAACTAGGGAATAGCTCTTACCTTGATCTGCAGGGAAGAGCCCGGCTTGTTTGAGGCGCTGGATGAGGGGAAAACGCTGCGCAACAGCCTCCTCTTGAGGCTGTTCTCCCGGGATTTGGAGCTGGGGCTGCCCTCCCCCGAGGGCCTGGAGCCGGCTGCTCGCTGGGCCCAGCCCTCCTCCGGGCTCCTCGGCCCGGTGTCGCTGTCCCCCGGCACAGCAGGGGTGCGCTGGAGGCAGCTGCCGTCGGCATCCTGGAACTCCGCCGGGCCCAGGGACTGCGCTTTTGTCACCATCCCGTTGGGATGGGACTGGCCTTCCAGCCGGGCTTTGTAGTCCGGCCACATGGTCTGCCTCCGGGCCACCTTGGAGCCACCATTGCAGCTGAGGTAGTTCCCATACTTGTCTGCCCAGTCTGCTTCAGGACTCTGGAGATACATGTCCGGGGGTCTCTCGTCCCCGAGGAGCCCCAGGGACTGGGCTCTCCTCCTGCTGGTGGGGCTCCTGCCCCTCAGGGTGTTCGAGCTGATGGCAGAGAGCTTCTGGATGTCGTTGAGCAGCCCCGAGATGTAGCCTTCCACTTCCACAGTGCTGCCCCGTACCACAGTCTGGGAAACATGGGGAAGGTGGGAAACGAGTAAAAAAGTCACAGTTGTAACAATTCAGGCTCAGTTTATCTTGCCAAAAGTTAGATTTTGTTTATATAGCCAAAGAAGACTCAAGGAATTTAGGGGGACAGAATTTTTCCTGCCTATTTCTCATTGTCCTTTACCGAGGGGGGAAAAAAGGAATCCTTGGGTCACACTCTGCTGTCAGAGCAGAAGTGCTGTCAGCCCCAACAGTCAATTCTGCTGCTGTGCTCAGGCTCTAAAAGGCAACATTAGAGCCAACCTGGAATATTTCAACTCTCCTGGCTCTCTTGTGCTGAAACTGTGTGACACTACATCACTAACAGCTCAACAAGCTCCTGAAATATTGGTTCTCAGAAGAAGTTGCAGCATGCTGCAAGCTCCATCTGCAGAACTCATCTCGCTGTTCCAACACAAGGTTCATCTCTCCCCTGAAGCACTCCCAGTGTTGGAATCAGCCTCCCCCAGTCTGCTTCTCCCCAATTTCTGCTAATGCATCTGCATCCTGAGCAGTGCAGAGCACGCTGTTCCAGGTCTGCATCCCCCTCTGCTCTGCCAAGCCACTCTAATTAAACCCCGCACACGGGGTCACCACAGCTCACAACTGCCGTGTAAGCACCGGCTGCAGAACGAGGCTTCCATCCAAACAGGCACCAGCTCTGGACAAGTAGGACACTCGAAGCTGTCAATATATTATGTAGTGCTCTACCTTGTTTTTTCTGGAACTGAAAAGCTTACAGAAGCTTTTTTAGCGCTGGGAACCAAAAGGTTCCATTTCTCCACAGAAATTCGCAGCATAGGATCACTCCTACACTTTCATGAATCTCTGCCTGAAGGAAAGTCCTTCCCTGGAGTGACAGCAATCTCCTGTTTGCTAACTGAGCTCCAGGGATCTACTAAACATGCTGTATTAATTACACCAAGCCTAATATTTAGCTGGTGCAACACAGCAGCTCCAGTAATTTCAGCAGAACGCCACCACTGCACTCCGACGAGCGCCTGGTTTGCTCAGCGTCTGAGAATGAAAGGCACAACACAACATTTCTGTCAAACAAGGTGAGGGAAGGACAACCCCACTCATTCCATGGCACACACACCAGCTGCAGCTGGAAATTCTGGTCTTTACTCCCTCACCACACACACATTCCTCCACGGCCCAGCCGCAGCCACGGAACAATGTGCTGGGGACACGGACTTGTTTGACCAAATTGGACAAAAGTCATTCCAGAGAGACTTGTGTGTTCTCAAAATAAGAAGTCTCCAAGAACATGCTGTGGCCTCTCTGGAAAATCCACTCTAGTGCACATCTCCTACTTAGAAACTCCCTAAAATTAGACTCAGGTCACTCCCATTAAGACAGTCCTACCCCCAGCGGACAAGGAAGATGGCACTTAGCCTTGCTTTGCTGCTGTGTATAAAGACTGCATCAGATTAATGAAGAAACATCCACATTTGAGCCAAATCTATCTGGAGTGCTCTTACATGGATCATGCCTTACTGAGCGGAATTGAGAAATTATTTTTAACAAGAAAAGCCCCTTTTTATAAGCTACACACAAAAAAGGAACAACTCTGACAGCTGAATCCAGGACTAAGTATAAGGGCTTGGCCAATTAGCACTTAAAAAAAAAATCTTATTGACTGGTATAATTGAACAGGAATTAATTCAAATGGAGTTTACCCAAAATACTCAACTATGCGATGCAGTCTCAGAGAGTATTTGCACTTGGACTTACTGGGAAAAAAAACAGTGTTAGTTTAAGATTCTCCTCTAGTTCTTAAAGCCTGTTGGGTATTCTGTCCTTGTTCTCTAAAGGCTTTGCACCTCCTTTCAGCTTTTGCCACGCTCAGCTTTAATAAGTCACACATGAAAGTACCAACCAGCATCAGGCTCAGGGCAAACGCCCGGAAATCTCTTCATGCACATTCCTGTTTTGACAGTGATGCCTCACACTGTTTTTGGAGTAGCCTTTGCCAAAATGGCTCAGTTTGCTCTGGAAATGCCATTGGTGCAGTGTCAGGAGCCTCACTCAAGTCAAGCTACAGGAGAGTGCTGTCATTTCCCCCAGACCCACGGCCCCACACCCTGGGATTGATGGAAATCGGGTTGCTTGATGTGATTTGTTCTTGATAAATCCACACTGGCTGCCAGCTATTACCCTGCTATCTCCTTGGAAGTGGCTGCAAATAGATTACTTGCTTATTTGTTCCACCCTCTTTCTGGGAATAGAAATTATTCTGACTGATCTGCAATTCCTTGAATCTCACTAGGCCCAGCTGACTTGAAAATATGCAACTTCTTAACTAAGTCTCATTTCTGTTCATGTTCTTTTCTTATTCCAGCTTGCATTCCCATCCCTTCATGCTCGTGCTAATTGTGTCAGCCCTCTGAACACACTTAATAAAGGCTGCAGAAAAATCATTAAATACTTAAGAATTCCCGGTGTCATCTGTTATTAACTTTCTTCCAAGATCAGCAGTGAGCAAATTCTTTCCTTCATCCTCCTTCTCCTCAGTGCACTTATGATGTCTCCTTAGTGCCCTTTATGTTCTTTGAGAATAACATCTCTTTTTGTGCCTTGGCCTTCCAGTTTTGTTCCTACATAAATTTCTTTTCTCTTTGCCCTTTATAACTTGACCTAGTTTCCACCCTTCTGAGCAATCCTCCTGCAGTTTAAGCTCATTAAAGAGCTCCTGATCCAACCAAGTTGGTCTCTTATTACACATTTCATCTCTGCTCTGGACTGTGCTCCTATCTCCTACTATATTTTGAACCTCAAAGCACATTCAGTACACCAGGCAATACCTCCTGCCTTTTTCTTTCACCTGTTCTTCCTGAGCAAGTCTTTCCTTTACAAATCAGCATTCTGCTCCAATATGATGTGCCATTTCAGCTGCAAGTCTGATTATGTATAAAACTTACATTATACCAAATATAGTCCCATTTAGTCCCCATGTTTTTAACACCTACACACAAAAAGCTAAATATATTCATCAGATGGCCAACTCTTTTTTATATCCCTCCTAAAACCCAAGTAGTAACATCTCTATTTGACAACTCACCTTTCAGCTTTTAAGCCCCTGGAGCATTTTTTTTTTTTTAAAGAGAAGAAAAACTTCCCACAAGCTCCCAAGACTTTAAACACAATGATTCTGTCACTATCTTTCCTTTTCTTTTCCCACAGCAGGTCCCTGCTCTCACACAGTCTCCAAAGCCAATTCCAGCAGTCAACTGAACCCACCCATCCACCAGAATCACCTGTTTCTGCTTACTGAAGGACTTGCTCTGAGGACATGCTCCTGTTTAATATGTCCTACTTTCCATCAAAATGCTGGTTTAGAAACCCTTTTAGCCCAAACCCTCCTTTAGTCCTTGCTGTCCTCACTTGTCCATGAACAACAAACCAGTGCTACCCCACTCTCTCCCACTCAGGCTTCCCTGGCAACTTCATCACCAGCCCAATTTGCTCACCCATGAGAATGACAAACCTGCTAAAACAGGTCTGTCCCTGAGTTCTCCTCCTCCCTTCCCTGTACAGCTGAACACATCCCAGGTCCTGTCAGCTCCACGAGAGCTTTCCCATGTCCCTGTGTCCACAGTGACAGGCAGCCAAGCTGGTTACTCCAACAGTGGCACCCCTGCAGTTCAGGACACTGCTGTCCCTATTGCTCATGAAGGTACTATCAAAGCCCAGCCCCTGCTCTCCCCTCAGTCCCATACAGATCCCACCCTTAGCCCCACTTCTGGGGCAATGGAAACGTTGCAACAGCAAAGAGCCGCCTCCCTCTCTTACCTTCATGGGCTGGAGCTGCATCCTCGTGATCCTCGAAGGATCTACCACTGGCTTGGGGCGCCTCAGCGTGTCCAGAATGTTCTGCCATTGGGGGGGCAGGCCCACAAATTTGCCCTCCTTTGGGTCAAACGAGGTGTGGACACGGTGCTCAAAGTTCTGCGGAGCCGAGATCTCCGGGCGTTTCTTCTTCTTCTTGCGGAACATGACGCCTGCAGGGGGAAGGCAGCGCCGTCAGTGCCTGTCTGCGCCCGCAGCGCCCGGCCCGGGCAACACCGGTCACTTCTGGCAGCTCATTGCACTGCACCAAGGGCATTCTCTGGGGAAAAGCACTTGAACAAGCACTCATCATCACAGGAGGAAGCAGAGGCACCAACACAGCAAAGACTTGCCCAAGACCACCTGGCAGGTCCATGGCTGAGCTGGGATTTCTACTGACTTCCTTTATTTCTACAAATTCACATTACCTGATATAAGCATTCAAAAACATGTTAGAGATGAGTATTTATATCTTACAGGCTCCTACCTAGGTTAAATGGCTCTGGAGTCCAGCCAGTGAGTGTTGATGCCACTACAAGCCTGGAATGAAAGGTGGTTATGAACAGGGCTCAGGTTGTCTTCTCACTGGTTACTGCAAGTAATTAATATCCACTTGGTTCCAATTTAAAGACAACAGAGCTGTTGCCAAAAGAAGATCTGCCCAACACCAACTTCGGATCTCAGTTTTTCTTGCTTAGAGGGCCCGTGAGGGAGAGAGAAGGTGGGAGGTGGAAATCAAACTCTGTCAGCAGGTAGCTGAAGAAGCTAAAATTAAAAACTAAGACTCCTTCCCTTGAGGGCTGAGACAGACAGCTTGTGTGAACAGCCAGTGTAAGTGCAACAAGCCAGAAGCAGCTAACACTGAAATATTCCCAAACATAGGAGACATTCAAAATCTGAATCTAGATTTTATAGCCAAAAAAAGATAGTTAGATAAATAGAAAGCTAAGAGATCAGACCTCTCTGAAATTGGGAAGATATGAAGGAAAAGGAAGAACTGGAGCTCTGTGTGCACAACCTAGGAAAGGTAGAGGACTGCAAGGGATGGACACAACCTCTTTCAAGGTCCCTTCTCCTCTGAAATGTTCCATGATTCCACTGACTGATTTGGGAAAAAGCTCCACAGGTTTATTAAAGCAATTAAAATCCACCAGTAAAAAAATGAAATTGTTTATATGCTCTTCCCTTTCCACGGACAACTTGACTGTTGGCATTTGCCTCTCACTAACACTGCTCACAGCAGTGAACGGCTCCTCTTCCCTGACATCAGGCAGAGAGAGCATTTTTGCCACTTCAACTTTGTAGCAGGTCACTCTTCCCCTGTACAGGCCCTCGGCCTCCAACTATTTGTGCTGAACAAATATTTGCAAGGGTCAGAGACACAGACCACAGCGAGATAACCTTCTGTAGTGGAGACAAGAATACACTTCTAGAGGACACCCATCTCCAAAATCAGCACATCACAGGGAAATCTAGGGCAAACATTTTCCAGGTTGTCCCACTCTAAACTTGTTTAGGGAGCAAAGGGCAGCCACCAGCTGAACAATGACTGATTCCTGGTGCTAGACAGAGGTCCTGAAATCCAATCTACACTGGCTCCCATCACCATGATCCTGCAGCCACAGGGGTGGGAAATGTTTGTATGGCACAGAAGGACCTTTACTCCATCTAACACCCCAGTCATGCCATCCACCCCCGGTGAAACCCACCCCTCACACTGACACCGGCCACTGCAACACTGCAGTCAGGAGCCCACCAAAGATACCTCACAGTTAGAAAAGAAAACAAAAGGTTAGCAAACTAAAAAAAACCACAAGAGAGGCTGGAAGCAACTGTTCTGCTTGGAAGAGGTTTCACAGCCAGAATAATCTTTGCTTAGAACAAGCTCCAATGAAAACACAACTCCATCTCAGTGGAGAGCTAATGGGAAGGGTGTCTGTGCTCCAGGTCTGGATTGCAGCTCCTCAAACAGTGATTCATCTCTCAGGCCCCTTTGGTGCTACTTATTAACTAAGAATCAAGACTAAGGTCAGAGGGCAATTCTTTAAGGAAAAGAAAAGTGCAGTCAATACTGGAAAAGAAAGATGCTCATGGTGTTAGTACTGCTCAAATCAACAGCTGGAGCTGCTAAGGAGCTTCCCAGCCTCCAAGGAGAGCAGGGAGTATCTCTCTAGTATTACAGCAAGTGGTTCAGTTCTGAATCCATAATACACATCAGTCATGACTGCTCCTTGATCCACCAGCTCAGGGGTATTTCCAGACACAGAGATATTACTATTTCAACCAGCCTTTTTCCTTCTCCTGCTCCTTCTCTCACAGCTTCATAATGAAAAGGTACCCAGGGCATAGCACAGTCTCTTCCAAGTTTGCTCTTTAACTGCTTCAGGTGGCAAAGAGTCTTGTAAAATGGGGTGTTCCAAATGCCACAACCATTAGCACTTGTAGCATCAATGGTTTTCTGAACATGCCAGGCATTTCCCCACAAGGAGAGTGATTCAGACTGAACTGCTTCAAAATGCAAATTTTTAAAGCCTTTTTTGGCCCCAACCAGAACAGTGGCTCTGTCAGCATCTCAGCTTGCACAGGCACAAACACTGCATTTGTACACTGCCATAAATCCCCATAGCTGTCACTGAGCCCCTGCCCTGCACTGCCATCCCAGAGCCCAAAGCCCCCCAAGACCCTGCAAGGAGCAGCTCCAGAGTTCCTGCTCGGTTTTAGGGGGCTGGCTGACATGGCCTGCAAGTGCCTTATTGGCTTATAACAGACATCTCAGAAACAACACAATGTAATCAGCTCCACACACAACACACCCCTGGGCACCCAGTGGCATTTGCTTTACATCTGATTAGAAAGAGATCAGACAGGTGGTTTAAAGGTAAACTGCATTAAGAGCAAATGAAATCCATACACTAAAAATAGTTATTTGAAATATGGATTGTAATAATCTGGGTAGGTTTTGCATTTCATCGAGGAGCTCTGTATTTAACCAGCCTCCTTTCACTTTGTGGTTTTCATGCAAGAGCTATTTATTTTTATTTCCAATACCCAGCTAAAGAATGTTTAAATAAAACACATAAAAACAGGCCTTTTCTCAGTCAGTAAGAAATTCATAAGAACATTTTATGCATATAAAATTTTGTAAATCAAGCCAAACCTGTATTTAAACGTAGACAGCATCCCTTTAATGTAACAACACAATGTAACAACACAAATACTGTGACACTGATTTTATAATAATCTACTAGACTTTAGTCTTTCATTCAGTGCTGACAACTGTACTGTAAGAAATGTCACAAACATAAATAATAAAAGTCACTACCACAAGACAAAAGCAGTCGGAGATTGAAATTCTCTCAGCGATCCATTCCTGCTGCCTGGGAAACCACGTTAGGTTTTTCAACTCCAGATATAGCTGTTCCTGGATGATACAGTTCCCAAAGCTGTCACATCTGCCAGTGAGCACGGGAAAAAAATCCCACAGCCAGCGGATCCAGAGCAGGGGGAGGGATCGGCTGGGAAGGAGGGGCAAGAAGAGAGAAGGGTCAGGCTCAGATGAGAGGAAGGGGTGGGAAGATTAAGGATGGAGGGGGAATGAGAGTTAGGAAGGAGAGAGGAATGGGGGGAGCCAGGCAAGCCCAGGAGCAGGGCACAGAAATGAACCAACCCCTCTGATAAAAACAAGTAGCTAAACGTTATGAGAAATGGCTCCTTCCAACGCCCAGCCAAAGGCAGCAGCAGGCACTGGCACTTCACCCGACCTGCCTCCCCCCTGCTCCCGGCCAGCCCCACGCTCCCGGACCCAGGGAGCATGCCCTCCCTCCCTCCCTCCCACAGGCACTTGATGATAGCAGGGCAGCGCGGAGCTCCTTCAGCCTCGCTCGGGCAGCTCCTCGTTCCAAATAAGCCTTCCCTCCCCTCCCCGCTGCAGCACCGAACTCACTCATCGGCTCCTCGCGCCGCTATCGCGGATCTGGACACAGCTCCCTACATTCCTCCCGCCCGGACCGGAGGGAACGCTCCGGCCCCGGGCTCAGCAAAGCCGGTCCCATCATTTCCAAGTCCTCCCGCAGCTCATCCGCCAAACTGCTCTGGCCAGCTCCGAGAGGGGAGGGAGAGGAGGAGAACTCTTCCTACAGGACCGGAGGAACTGCAATATGCAGAATGAGTTTGCAGTAGGAAGATGAAGATCGCAGAGAACCCGCCAATTAAAAGGAAAAGCCTATTTCCATGCTCTGCTCCGCAGGTCAGTGTCATGTGCTGCCTTGGGAATGGCTCCCAGGCTAACCAGGCCATTAGCCATGCGTGGCACATGCACACATGTGTTCACACCGAGGGAGCTGGCAGGGTGCACGCAGGGAGTTCCACCATAGCCCAGACCTACAATCCTCCTGGTTGCCTTCCTGAGCTTTCCCACATCCTTTTTATTTATAAGAGGCCATCAACATTCACAGCAGTTTGCAGACACAGAGAAATGGCAGGTTAGGTCCCTGAGGAGCTCACAAACCCAAATGTGACTTCACTCAGCGAGGAATGGCAACAAGGGTCAGTGGAAAGCAAAATGGTCCAAAATCTGAAATGGGATCTAAGAGCACAGCTCTGACTCCACGACACCTTCCTCAATTGGCTGCAATTCTAGTTTTAGAAATACTGGTTGAGGCACTTTTTTCCTCCTAAAGGAGAGTGGCTATTTGCTTGCTGTGCATCCCTTCCCCCCTTCCAAGTCCTTTCCTTGCACTCCTCTCCCTCCCCAGCCCCCCATGGCAAAGCTGCGTGTTGGAGCGAAGCAGCAGCACAGCAAACTGATGTAATGCTCTAAATCCTGCCCAAACACACACACATGAGAGCACAGATTAATATTACATTAGAAATAAGCTTAGGGAGGGACATATTTGTTACATTGGTGGGTTTATTTCTGACAAATGAGAAGAACAACTCAACTCTTTGAGATTTTTTGCCATGCCTCCACTGAGCAGGGTCCAAAGGCTCCAGTGCTGCCTCTTCCTCCCCTGCTCCATTTCCTTGCTCGTAAATTAGGGCTCAAAACTACAAGCCAGTGAACGCCTATTTGCTCAGCTTGTTTTGGATGCTGCTGGGTGACATATTTTTAGGTGTGTTTTAGCTATACCACACCAAATTCATTCTGGGACCTATCAAAGCATTTGCATAGAAAAGACCTCTTGAACTTTCCAAAACCAGTGCTGGCATGTCCCAATCGCTAATGGGCTTTCCCTCGACAATAATAAAGTTTTCCCTTATTTACAGGCCCCTAGGAATCCCAGCTGAAGTCACTGTCCCATCGGGCCAGTCTCTGAAGTCAGGCCCCACCCTCCAGAGGTTTCATCTAAACAGACGAAAGGTGAGGAAAAGGAATTATTATCCTCATTTGCAGACTAGACAGAAAAAAAATTACTAGCCTGGTTTCTTCCCAGCTATGTCTAGAACAGCAAATCTAAAAGAGCTCCCAGGTATGTCTCCTGGCCACTTTTTAACTTTCTGTCAAGGCCAGATCCAGACCCAACACACCCTGGCTACAGAGAGAAAACACAGGTGCACGGCCCCAGCAGCAGCCAAGACACATTCTGCCCACAGGTTTGATCTTGACACCAGCACGTAGGTCCAGACACTGTGACAGAGCCCAGCAGCACAGACAGAAACCACACCCAAACCTCAGCTGCAGTCCAGGGCCTTGATTATCAGACCAGCCTTTCATCCTGGGTTTGGTGTGTGAGAGGGTACAGCCACCAAACCCCGCTTCAGCACCAGAGGAAGTGGCAACTCGTGTCCACCCAGAGCCAGTGGGACATGTGCTGCAGGTCACCGGGCTGAGCCCAAAGCCACGACACCAACTATGACCCTTTTTCCCCACTTAATGTGGGCTGTGTCCTGCTCTGGCTGTACCAAACCATGCAGTGCCTCACACCTGCACACCTCACTGATCCCTGTCCCAAGAGCTTTGTTCCACAGGCATTTAATGACATCATTTTGCCACAAAGGATGCATCAGGGTTAAAAACAAGTGGCTGTATTTTGCTGTTCATGCAAAACACCAAAGAGCTTCAAGAAAAGGGCTTGAAGGATTCAGGGCTTCAGTTTCCACTGTCTTGTGTGACAGATCCATTCAAAATCAGCATAAAAATACTACCGAGATTAGAGTAAGAACATTTAAGGTTCTGTCTCCAGAAATCCACATGAAGAGACACATCATCTCTGCCAGACGAGAGGTTACGCTGGGACAAGCACAAGGGGCCACATCTGGCAGGCGGGGTCACATGGCAGGGGAAGGAGCCAAGGCGAGGGCTGTGTCTGGGGAACACGCGATGCCACAGCACCGGGCACCGCCCACAGCACCGGGCACCGCGTCCTGCGGCTCCATCCCAGCGCCCTGCCCAGCCGGGTCCAGCTGCCTCTGGCACGAGGGGTTACGAGAGGGAAGTTGCAGGTCTGTGCTGCCCATGGGCACGGTACAGACCTTACTGTGTGCAGGGAGAGTCACACGCTCTGAGCAGGGCTGAGCTCCCAGGCAGACCTGCCCCAGCAGAGGCACCGGTGCTCACAGTCCTGGCTCACAATGCTCACTCCAGCAGCACAGCCAGGGGCTGGCAGAGACACCCCAGCGATGTCCCAATCACCCGAATATAGAGATGCAAGAGGTAAACTTCATTCCAACCAACACTAAACCGTCTTAGTCCCTGTTTATGCTCATCATGTTCTCCCAAAGTGAGATACAAATACATTTAATTGCTGTCAGCAGCCTGCAAGGCAGTTTGCCTGTGTTACCCCCACAGGATAACTATGGGAAAACTGCAGCCCACGCAGTGTGCCCCAAAACACAGAGGAGACAGACTAGCTCGAACTCCTCAACCTGGCTGACTCTCAGTGCCTTCCTGCTCACTGCTGCCAATACCGAGATGGAAACAAATCGTAACAGACAAGTCTTCTCCCAGGGAATATCGGTTCTCCTGCTCTGTTTGCAAAGGGCAGACCTGCCATGAGTGTGAGTGCTAACACAGCCTCAGTAAAAACCAGGTTAAAACCTGAGGTGCACTCAGAACACAACACAAATACCTGGCGTTGGCTACAGCTGTACTCTGTTCATCAATTAATTACAAAATAATCCATTTACTAACACTACAAGTAAAATGGCTCAGCCCTGGGGAAAATGTAATTTCCTGAGGTATTTCTGAGGGAAATAGAGTTCGACTTTTAGTCTTTGTGCATCCTCCATCCCCCTTGCTCTCTTTTGGCAGCCGAATGGAAAATCAATCTCAGAACGACAGTATTGGCACTAATGACCCCGTCTCAGTGCATTAGTCCTCAAGCTACAGGGTAATCCTGCAACTTTAAACCATATTGAGAAATTCCCTAAGAACATCCAGGTCTCCCTTGCACTGAGTCTATGCAATTATAACTCAAAGGCAGGGGACTAGTGCAGGGGTGGTACCACAGACACGTCCTGCCCAGGTACAGAACTCTTGTGCTGCTCCCATTGGGATGGAACTTGAGCACCATATCCCTGCTGGTACCCAAGAACACAGTCTGTGTAATACAGAGCTCAGGGCCTGGCGGAGCTTTTACTTGCAGTTGGGCTAAGCTAGTCCAAGCTATTTTAACCAGTTTTCTTTAAAGCAATTTGCACAAACATTTAGCTCTTTTCTCTCCTTCTGAATTTCCCTAAGCACATTAGGGAAGTAGGTTAAAAAGAGCTCTTTTTTCCTCACTGGAGGCAGGACAGCCAAACTTTTAAGGAATTCTCCTTAATTAATTTCATTCTCCTTGGGAATGAAAACCATTTTGTGACCAAAGAAGGGTTATGTTTCTCACTTTTGCAAGCAGCAGGACCCAGAGTGTCCTTCCCAGGTACATCCACGCTCACACCCATCTAGACAGAAAAAACCCCTGTGCAGGGAGCAGGCTTTCCATCTGGGAGCACAGTTACTAATCCAGCCAGCTATCTGCTTGGCCACTGTTTGGTCAGCTTTGCTACTGGGTACAAAAGCCATTGCTCCCACAGCACACACCATGTCCATACCAAAGGCAGCACGGAATATCAACATCAATATACAGCTTCATCACACTTCAGGAATGAGACTTTCCAGTGGGACAGGGCTGGAGGGAGAGTCAGGCAGCAGGTTCCCTTCCCCAGCAGCTGTGTAAGGGCTGACTCAGGTTTTACCCAAGCACAGAACTCAGAAATGCAGGGGAAGACTCAGCAAATGTCTCTTACTCTACATACATCCCCCAGCCTCACCCGAGAGCTTGCACTCACCACAAATTTCTCTTCTGTTTTTCAGTGCTCTGTCCCCAAATGCATTAAAGCACTAGTGTCCTGGCAAAGAAGAAAGTAAAGATTAGTGGACAGGACTGGTTTCTGTCACTGCACATACCTGGCCGTATAGTTGGTTACCACCTGACAAAAATAATTAAGTACAAATGCCCAATAGAATCGTAGATTGTAACTTAAATAGGAGGAGATTACCCAGCTTCCAGCCAGCCAAAACACACTCACACCCAGCCCCACACCAGTACTACAGCGTGGCTTCAGCAGGAGTGCTGGGAGGATCCTGGCCAGCACAGCAGCCCGAGATTGGGAGCACACACAGGAGGGTTTGACTGGACCTCTCCATAAGGTACACTGAGGGTCCTTGTAGATACCACAGACTTCAGAGCAGACGTTGCTCTGTCTCCCGTGAAGGCAACAAGCTGCATGTTCCTGACATGCTGTCTGCTCTCTCGAGCATCATCCAGAGCAATTCTTAACCCCTTCTTCATCCCAAGGTTTTAAGAGCATCACCCTTCTCAGATTCAACAAGGTATTTTCCCTGCTGCACTCCCCATCCTCTTGAGTGTCAGTCGGATGAATCACCAGACCCCAACACCACAGCCCCACACCTCGTCCCACCTAAAAGACCCTGGGAAGCAAAAAACACAAGATCTTACTGGCAGTCCTGTTGCAACAATGCTGGTGGTGGACAATTCCAAGGGAGAGGAGCAAGAAGGGTCTGGAGGCAAACTCTCCCACTGTCATGCAGCAAAGCCGATTGGAGGACAGTGTTGCTGGGCTGTAGGAGCAAAGATGAAGTAAACTCCTTCGCAAAGGAATCCAGCTCCCGGTTTTTCTTCCCGTTCAGAACCATCCCTTGAGAGAAAAAACTGTATGACCCCTCGAACTATTCTGCTCTCCCTTCGCCCCAGGCTGGCACTGCCAACACACGTGCGATCGTTACACCGATCCGTGGCACGGCTCAGCTCCGAAGGGAAGGGGTTAAGCCAAGGCAGCACAGCCACTGGGGAGTGGAGACGTTAGTTCAAACTGACAAACCCAGTCCTCTGTAAACACAGGGCACAAATCCCACAGAACAGCGGCCATTAGGATGGCTGTTATGGCTTTAAAGCAAGCAAGTCAATGTCCATGCCCAAATCTGCAGGAGGGCACTTACCCCTGACTCCTCATTGCTCTGTGCCCAGAGGTGAGGTGGGAATGCTCCGCCACCAGAATCCGCTGACACGCCGATAAACTTGAGAGAGAAAGACGGCAGGAAAAAGCGGGAGTAGAAAAAGGGGTGGAGGCAAGTCTGACATGTTTGTACAGTGCCTGGTGCACCTAAGCTGCCGAGTTTGATTTCAGGGTGTGGTAGCAGATGGGACACAGAAGCACTCGGCACAGAGAAGCCTCGGAAAACGACATATGCTGAAAGCAGAGCCTCCTGGGACCATCTCACCTTCTCCTCTTTGTCTTCTTTCTTGGTCCCTAGAGGGAATGAGAGAGAAAGAGCTCGGAGTCACACCTGGGCACCGAGTTGTGCTGGGTCTTGGGCAAGAACCTTGGGGAGATCCTTTCCCATTCCCCTCCGCCCTTCTTCACCGCCCCACTCCACTGTGGCTTATTAAAGCTCCGCTCCTTGGCTCTTCTCCCTCAGCTCCACAGCCTTGGGGCCAGGAGCTGCTACAGCTCCTAAAGAACCCGCCATCTCGCCCTGTGTTTCAGGACCTGCCACCAATCCCTTGTCATTCCTGGCAGGAAAGCTTGCATTGCCAGCTCTATGGCTGGCTGTAGAAGAATTCACCCCATTGATTTGCATTGCAGATGAGCAGCACATGACCTGGTGCTTTTCCTTTTGCCCTGTCCTACCGCGAGTGAGTCAGTGCTGCCGGCTCTGGAGTCTGGGATCACCCTCCCATCCCGTTGTGCCTCTGGGTTTCCTGACTCCTGGAAATACTTTCCCCAAATGACTCATGCCCAGCAGGACACCAGCTCCACCACCAGCAGCACTGAACACCTAGGTGAAAGGGGCAGAGGACACTTTGGGGATTAGAGCCCAGGAGAGGTCAGAGTTCCTGTCAGCAAACCTATCAGCTACTCTTGCTCCACTGCAAATTGAGAGGCTTCTTGGCCTCTCCAAACCACTAACAATCTTGGCTTAACCCTCTGGTGTTTTTAGGTCCAAAGACCAGAGATAAAAGCCATAAAAATCCACTCCCATGACTTTTTAGGGGTTTGTTTTGGGGTGGGTTTTTTTTGGGGGGGGGTTGGTTGTTTGATTTTTGAACTGCCCTTAAAATAAATAACTGACATGGTACAAACAATCATTAGGCTGTCATCATTATTGCTGGGAGTGGCTTGTCCAGCAGAGATGGGCCAGCCCAGTGACCTTTTAGCCTTGTTCCTTCATTCCTATTTCTTTTCCTACCTCTCCATCCCACCTCAAAAGGCTGCAGTATGTTTGTACAACAACCAAGGTCACAGAGGTAGTTGGGATTCACCAGTTCTATGGGGACTATAATGGAGAAAAGAATTGGGGTTCATAGAGAGAACCTAAAGGTAATCCTGGCAGTGGAGCTGATGGTCTGAGGTTCCTAATCCTCATTTCCAGACCTGCCAGCTAAGTTGTGGAAGGGCTGCTTCCTGAGCGTGCAGTCACCACTTCGATGTTCCACTGCAGGTCCCTGCCTGCCACAGCCTGCCACAGAGACCCGGGCTTCCTGCCTGCTCCCTCCCTAGGATGCAGGAAATACTTAGCCAGGTTCCTTTCTGTCTGGGGATTAGCTCCTCCAGGGCAAGCCCCATACCCAGATGTAATCAAAAAATGAAAGTTCCTGTTAATAGTAAAGGATAGTGAATAGGAGAGGGGACAGCATTCTTTCCCAAAAGGCTGGAACTCCACAGCAGAGCAGCGCGGTGAAGGATCAGAGGGGAGGAAGCTGAGGTGATCCTGGGAGGTGTGGAAGGAACGCGTCGGGGAGTACAAACTGTCCCTGTCATCTGTGCACCAGGGCTTTGCTGCTGTGCCAGGCATGGAGGAGTCACCCACAGCACCAGGGCGTTGGGAGCACCACAGACAAATGGCATTTACAGTCTCCAAGGAGTCACCCAGGCTTGGAGCTGGCTCCAGATTTGCATGAGGATTGTATTTCCTGGGTTATGTACTGAGACAGTCTTCTAGAACAAGAGAAGTTCTTTATAAATGGAAGAGCCTGATTTTACTTGTCAAGACACAAGCTTAGATGAAACCAAGGCAGCTCTGAGTCGGTGTGAACCTCTGCTGCCTACAATCTTAATGAAAAATTAGGACACTTTCCAGTCTTTCTATTCACACTTTGGTCCCAGCAGTCCTACACACTTTGAAGAAAAATTTCCCAGTAAAAGTGACGCACCTCTAATTTTCCCCTTCAGCGACTGTTCCTTTATTACACATTTCACTGCTCCTTGCCTGCCCACTGCTCCCTTCTTACCTAGAGAATTGCACAAGACAATATAAATAATTATACGGGTCCATGTCTGTAAACACAGACCTCCACGCCCCACTCCTCCTACGGCTGCTCTGTGCTGCTCCTCCAGGCCTGGCAGCACAAGTGCTGCAGGCTACGCTGACTAAAGGCTTGCATCGAGGTCTGCCTGATTTATCTGCCAGCAAAGGCCCTTCCGTGCTCCCTGTCCCCTCCCCAGACACAAAGCAAAGCCGGTGTCAGATCCCAAGTGCTGATCTCAGCTCGCTCCTCACCCTGCCCAGTCACGTCACTGCGCCAGGAGAGCTCCGGGACCTCACGTCCTGCACTGCTGCAGTAGGTTCCATTGAATCCCTGTCCATCTCTACTAGAACACACTTTTGTGAGGAAAAAAACCACTATTCAATGTTTTCCTATTCCAACAGGCAAGACTGAGCACTTCTAAACTTCAAAAGTAAAAAGTCAGAAACACACAGGCCAACTCTACCAGGCCAACTCTCTTTCTTCTACCTCAGCCAGGAGTAATGTACCTGCCCACCTGTCTGGAGCCTGTGGGAACTGGGGAAACTGCTAAGGAAAACTTATTTTTATTCAACAAAGCTTCCAGGAGAAGCCTAACACTAAGGAACAGGAAATCTGATACACTCAGGAAGTCCCAATAAGAACTACAGCAATTCCACCCACAGAGCCAGACCTTCCAGCAGGGCTCCACTGAGCTCAGGGATTTGATAGGGGGCACAAATGTTCTTCCACAAAGAATCCTTCCCCTCCTCTCTTTCACGGCTCTGCAAATCCAGAGTAAGCTGGTCAGGGAAGCGAACAAAATACACCAAGGATGGGGCCAGAGGGGTCACTAGGAGAAGAGCTGTGTTGCAAATTCACACATCAGCACCAGCTGGTGGGAGGAAGCTAGAGATAGGAATCAAGTCTGGGAGTCTCATAATCACCACATGACATTAGCCAGGGCTGGAGATAAGGAGGGAGCAATCCAGAGGCAGTTTCGCTTTAACTGAGTGCTCACAGCTCAGCCACCTTCCCCCAAGGCTGTCGGTTCAGAGGGGGGCAGGAGGTGCCAGGAGAGCTGCCTGCATGGCCAAGGCTGGGGTTATCCTCCTGCTCACTATGCACTGCTGCCCTTGTCCAGGGAGTGTCCAGAGATCCCAGCAGGACAAAGCCCTTCTGGCACTCCCACCGCAGAGCTCACCCCGTGTGCTTGTAAACTCTCCAAGGTTTACAGTCTAAACCAGGTGGATTCTTTTCCAGTTCCAAACAAAACACAAATGCACCAGAGCTGAAGAGATGGAAGTTGGTTTAGCCAGAGCACACTCAAATCTGCCAGGGCGGTGGGGAGCTCGGAGTCCCTCTTCACCATATGCACATTCCAAACACAATCAGCCCGGGTCACATGGATGAAGGAAATTTGTGCTGCTTCAGGCTCTCCTTGGGTTACAGCCAGGTTCTCCTGGGCCAGGCAACTCCAATGGTGGAACAAAGCACAGCCAGCAAGGAAACAGCACAAGGAAATTCTGCCAAACTGAGAACACCAGAGGCAAGAATCACAGAATCCCAAAGGTTGGAGAAGACCTCCAAGATCATGGAGTCCACCCTTTGACCCAGCACCACCTTGTCACCCAGCCCAGAGCACTGAGTGCCATGTCCAGCCATTTCTTGCACACCTCCAGGGCTGGGGACTCCACCACCTCCAGCCCCTTCTGATGCTTGACCACCCTCTCCATTAAGTGAAGAAAGCAGGTTAAGCTTAAAGAGAGTAAGGAAACAGCAGACTTTAAAAATGTCAACTCCTGCTCTGGTGAGAAGTTGAAGGTAAAGCCCAAGAAGATCACCTGAACACAGCACAGGCTATTTTGCTACTGGTTAAATTCCTGTGGCTTGGTAGACGTTCCCTGCAGATAAAATCAATACAGCTTGGATCACAGCCACCTCGCACCTCTTCCAGATCTTTTACTTGCAAAAACTGCACACACTCATTTGGTTATTACAGAAGTAATGTCACGCTCCACCAGACAAGCCTGTGCCACCCTCTACAAAAGGTGCATCTGCTGCTTCCCACAGAAGTCAGGACGATCAGTCCTGCAATGGCAGCACCCCAGCAGAAAGCCGGCGTTGCCTACAGATTCCCAGGTCACCTTGGGAAAGTCATTCTGCAGGCTGGTAAAACGACTGTGACAATGCTCAACTCCCCCACAACAGAGGCGGCTTAATCTGTTGTTTTTCCAAGCAAGCTGCGATCCTTGAGGATGCTATAGAAATGCAGATTGAAATCCCTGGCTGGCAGCACAGGAGCACAGACCCAGCCTCTGTCCCCAATAACTAGGTCAGGCAGCTATCACTCCAGAATTAACCAGAATCCAGCAAATTCCTAGTGGCCAAAATAACGGCAGCACAAGTCTAACACCCTGTGCTGACATTACTCACCCTCTACCTCTGGGTACATTCAAACCCAACTCTCGAGAGCTTAGAATAATTGGAGGGTTGGAGCTTATGCTTGTCAAAATCCAGGCACGTGGCTCCATGCAGCACAGGTTTCCCATCCCACTTGCTTGTGGAGGCAGGGAACAACTCAGCCTTAGGCAGCTGAAGGCATTCAGCCCACCTCAGGAAAATCAGGAAGCTGCACTGCTAATCCCGTGCCAGGGAACGGGTGTCACATCCCCTCCCAGCAGCAGCCCCCCTGGACAGCAGGGGCAGAAGGGGCCTTCGCCCTCCAGTGCTGTATGGGAGCTTATCTGGGGGGAAGGCTGGTAGAGGCAGGGCAGCTGTTGGAATAGAATCCGAGGAAGAGAAGAAAGGAAGGGTTGACTATTGCGATGGGGATGAGTATCCAAAATGCATCTCAACCCCCTGCCAGGGGATGAGTATTCAAAACTTACTTCAACCCGCTCCAGCTGCCGAGGCTGGACCAAGCACTGGCTTTCCTCTCACTGGAAAGGAGATGGGTGAAGAGTTAAACGTGTGGGGGGGATGTTATTATTATTACTATTATTTATTTTCAGGCTCTGTTTT